ACACACACACACACACACACACACCAAACCCCATGCCCTCTCAAACAGGCAGTAACACTAAAAGCACTACGACAACATGCATAATTAAAGCTGCCCTACCCAAAAATAGCTGGATGACAGAGAGGATGGGAGGAGTCTGGAAATGAGAGGATGGGAGAGGGTGAGATGGGGGGAGAGATGGGGGGAGAGATGGAGAAAGAGAAGAGAGGGAGGGCAGAAAGAAGAACAAGGGAGAGAAAAGACAATAAGAAGTAAGAGAACAGAGTGAAGACTGGAAAAAAGGGTGGAAGGAGGAGAAGTTGGGTGGTAGAGAAAGGAGGTTGAGGGAGAAAAAAGAGGTAGACTAGGAGTGTTTTAGTAATGTATATTTCACTGGGGTGCGTTCAGTTTGCTTGAACGTTTGCCACGTTGCGGAACGGTTTGTACTGAACGGCACGTTTTCCCAAAACATTCTTGTACGTTCTTGAACAGACTTTGAGTTGTTGCAGGGCACTGCCAGATTATATTCAGCTATGTTTTTGCAGAGCACTACCAGATGATATTAAATTATGTTGTTGCAGAGCACTACCACATTATATTTAGATATGTGAGTTTTTTCGTTGACTATAGGCTTTTACCTTGTTCCCGAGTCGGGTTAATACAAAGAGTACCTTGATTAATCCCACATCCCCCCCCCCCCCCCCCCCCCCCCCCCCCCCCCCCCCCCCCCCCACCACACACACACACACACGTAAAAAAAAAGTTACTGATTTTGCAGAAATTGAGAAAATGTAGGTACTATCAGAAATGGGAGAGGAAGCGAGACAACCCACTCCTACATTATTTCTGCTTCATATACAGTCAAGCAGACCAGACCCAGCTGCTATCACATTGGTGCCTATCAGTGGAGGCTGGTGGGAGGAGCTATAGGAGGATGGGCTCATTGTAATGGCTGGAATGGAACTTTGGAACGGAGTCAAACATGTAGTTTCCGTATGTTTGATGTGTTTGATACCATTCCATGTATTATATTCCAGCTATTACAATGAGCCTGTCCTCTTATACTGTAGCTCCTACCACCAGCCTCCTCTGGTATCTATGGGAGAGCCACCACCTTAAGCAGACCGGAACATGACTGAGACTGTGGAACTATGACTGTGATATGTGGTTGTCTAACCTAGCTAGGATGAATACACTAACTGAAACCACTCTGAATAAGAGCCTCTGGTAAATTCCATACAAAAAAAATAAATGTATGCACGCATGACTGTAAGTCGCTTTGGATAAAAGCGTCTGCTAAATGGCATATTATATATTATTATATTATATATTATATAAATTAATAAAATGTTATGCAAATGTAATACTATTGTGGCCAAGTAAGTTTATTGTTTTTCAAGATAACGGTATATATTTTTGTCAACTATTGTTATAATTTTCTGCCATCTGGACATTTTGTAAATACTCAACTCCGGATCCAGTCTTCTTCATCACTTAAATACCAGATATTTTTGCACCTGATCTATTGACACTGTCTCTCTCAACTGTTCCTGCTCCACACCAACTGAATAGGTTACTGAGTCCTTTGTCTTAACACACTACAGTGTGACAGTAATGGATGCCTGTAGCATGGTACTGAGAACAGAAAGAGGAGGAAGATGGGGGAGAGAAAGAGAGTAAAAGGGATGGGATTAGAGAGGGAGGGAGAGATAGAGAGGAGGGGGAGAGAGGGATGTAGATAGAGGGATGGGGAGAGAGAGGGATGTAGATAGAGGGATGGTGGGAGAGAGGGATGTAGATAGAGGGATGGGGGAAGAGGATAGGGGGAAGGGAGAGAGGGATGTAGATAGAGGGATGGGGGAGAGAGGGATGTAAGATAGGGGAGGGGGGTAGGAGGGAGAGAGGGATGTAGATAGAGGGATGGGGGAGAGAGGGATGTAGATAGAGGGATGGGGGAGAGAGGGATGTAGATAGAGGGATGGGGGAGAGAGGGATGTAGATAGAGGGATGGGGAGAGAGGGATGTAGATAGAGGGATGGGGGAGAGAGGGATGTAGATAGAGGGATGGGGGAGAGAGGGATGTAGATAGAGGGATGGGGGAGAGAGGGATGTAGATAGAGGGATGGGGGAGAGGAGGGATGTAGATAGAGGGATGGGGGGAGGGATGGGGGAGAGAGGGATGTAGATAGAGGGATGGGGGAGAGAGGGATGTAGATAGAGGGATGGGGGAGAGAGGGATGTAGATAGAGGGATGGGGGAGAGAGGGATGTAGATAGAGGGATGGGGGAGAGAGGGATGTAGATAGAGGGATGGGGGGAGAGAGGGATGTAGATAGAGGGATGGGGGGAGAGAGGGATGTAGATAGAGGGATGGGGGAGAGAAAGAGAGATTGGAGAGAAAGAGGGATCTTGCCTGGTAATGCTATAAAAGAGGCTACTGAAATATGCTGAGAGTTTTGTTGAACAGAAAGTGGTTCTGGAAGTTTCAGTGTAAGCCTACCTAATGCTGTTGCCTTTTTAAATCTTCCTGGCAACCTTCAAAACTAAAAACGTTTTTTCCTTTCCTCTCTTCTTTAGCTTTTTCTTCCTTCCACAGCGATTAAGGAAGAGAGACTGGCGCTGGTACACCATGTTAAGATTATTCACAGCAACTTCAGGAGACTGGCTAAGTTCTCATGTTTGAATAGTAAGTCATCCTTGAGCAGACAGACTCACACGCACGCACACACACACATGCACACATGCACGCACACACACACACGCACACACACACACACACACACAGGTACATATTAATTTATGCCTTGGTTCAGTTTGATACAAGGATGATATTAGAAACATGAAAACCCCAGTGCTGAACTTATTATCATAAGGTAACTCATTCCAAGCATATGTGTAACTCTTTCTTCCTAAAACGTACTCTGTGAAATGACTGAGGCAGCAACATGTCTTCCAACAATAAATTACACTCAGAGCCTGTCTCTGATTCATTATGTGGAAAAAAAATAACAAGCGTCAAACAGCAAGGTTTCCGAGAGTTGCATTACAGTGAGAAGATTAAAACTGAACCTGGACTGTTCTATATTCAGAGGACACACTGAAATGTTTTGCCCAAAGCATCACATTCCGCTTAATTTTTTTCCGGCCTCTTCAATTAAACAAAAACCACCTTGCTGTTACAAATCACTCCATTATTTTTTCTTCTTTCTTTCATTCTCCCACCTTCCCTCCATCAGCTAATTTCAGATATGCAATCTTCTTTTAGCTCCTTTTGCTCTCTCATTGGCTGTGCTTCGATGCTCCTTATTAAAATGTATATTTCCAAATCCTTCTTCAAAGGGGAGCTGTTAGCCCGGAGAGCCAAACCAATGCTCCGTGTAACAGGAAATTAAAAGGAGTCTGAGTGAAATGAGATATCCCGTCTTTGTCGTTGCATTCTGCATCGTGACGCGAGGCAGCCGTGTATCACCCGGGTGACAAAACATGGCAGAGATATCTCTGACTCCATCTCTAACAGTTTACTGGGGCCTGAATGTAATAAACACATAAGACTTTGATGTGTAGGTGTGCTGGCACGTCTTGTGTTGACAGCAGCTGCCTTGGGTAAATTGTGAAGATGTGGTACGGGATGGTAATGTACCTCTTTGAAACCATTCAAAATCACCATCCTTGGAGAGTAGGTCCATTATAGAGTTATTCACTGCTTGTTTCATTATCTGTTCAATTGCAAAACATTGACCCAGAGACGAAAACAAGGCCATCCACTAAATCCTCAAGAAGACAATATGATGACTAATATGGGAAAAGAGACTTCTGGCTGATGCAATAACAATTTGGTGGGTTCCTATATTTGTCCTATTTCACACATTTACAAGTGTGTATTATATGTATGAATTGGAAATGTGTTTTTTCATATCCCAACTCCCGCTGAGACACCCTCAGAGAGTGGGGTCACATTGGCTACCCTGGAGCAATTAGTGTGAAAGTGCCTTGCGGGGGGGGGGGGGGGGGGTTCAAAAACATTGTCTCCTACCGACCATATCACTGCTCACTAATTATCCCAGACCTTCTTATAAAGGGGGGATGGAGACAACAAGAGAGGGATGGAGAAAGAGAACAGCCCTCTCCTCTCCCAGTACCTTTCTATCACCGAAGTGCAGGACTCAGTTAGCTGTGGGAGAAACGCAAGACTGAGAAAGGCCTGCCTGATGCCCGTCCAAATTTACCCACAATACTCAGCGTCTGTTCCCTCTCCTCTGCTCCCAGAATGCAAAGCCTCTTAGATGCTGGGACCCCACCACAGTTTGGCAGCAACAAAATAATTGTGTGAAATACCCAGCGGGCACGTGCTTTATGGCTGGCAGCTTTACATATAAAACAGGCAGGCCTATCTGTCTCCTCGCAGGCTGCGGCCACAAAGTCCGAATCCCAGCTTTGAGCACTCTGAGGATCCTCACTCTGGAGTTCTGAGGAGAGACAGATTAACAACACCAAACACTGCTCCTCTCCTCTACTCCTGCCTGGCTGATAGAGGGAGGGAGGGAGGGAGGGAGGGAGGGAGGGAGGGAGGGAGGGAGGGAGGGAGGGAGGGAGGGAGGGAGGGAGGGAGGGGAGGGGGAAAAGCTGGATGATAGTGTTGCAGAGGAAAGTTTGTACTCGTGAACATCTCTGACTTACTTTGACATGTTCTGTAGCAGAATACCTGGCCCTAGTTTGGGGAGCTGGTTTGTTGGGGTGGAGGCACCATCTTGCTCTTGGCAGACTGAATGTAAAAGCTAGTCCAATGTAGGAGTTTCAGATGCTGAAGTTGACTGCTTTGCACTACCATACAGTTGGTGTCCATGGAGTTGAACTGACCAGAGACATAGATAGTCAGAATTCAGCTAACAGTCAAGTAAAATTAGATCAGTTTCTTTGGTAAGTTTCATACACCTAGGATTTTGCAGCGTTAAAATCCAGTTATATTTAAGTAAAACACTGACATCTAGTGGAAGTGTCCTGCACAGACTCAAGCTGATATAAATGACAACTTTTGCAGAGAGCTCCACCCTACTCCTGCTTAACAGGAAGGAGCAAAGCTCACAACAGAACGGTGCTGTAACATGCAGTTATTCAGCTAAACTGATATTTCTTATAGAAGGACGAATAATCTTTGTAAACGATCAAGAATCAAAACAACAATTGAAGACTAAGCATTAGCACACAGCATCTCTTTATAATGTTGTTTCATTCCAGGAGGAACTCAAGACTGCATTGGAGCGCTTACAGGAGAAACTGAAGGTCTTTGGAGAAGTTAAACTGGCCTGTGATCAAACAGCCAACCACATCAAGGTAAGAATACAGAGTGAAGCTGAGATGGAGTGATACTTTACACATTTACCATAACTCTGTGGAATTATGGATGATCAATTATTGATTATGTCTTTTACATTCCTCTCTGCTGTATCCAGAGCCAGGCCCAGCACACAGAGAGGCTGATTAAGATGGGGTTTGAGAATCTTCATTAGTTTCTACATGAGGAAGAGAGAGCCAGGATAGATGCACTGAAGGAGGAAGAGGAGCAGAAGAGTCAGATGATGAAGAAGAAGATTGAGGAGTTGAGCAGAGAGATATCATCACTTCCAGACACAATCAGTACCATAGAGGAAGAGCTGGGAGCTGAGGACATCTCATTCCTGCAGGTAAGGACTAATCTACCTCTGATAAATCAACAGCCCTTTCAATTATGAAATAAACATTGTAGTAGTACATTCATATGTTTTAGATTGATTTTCTATGATCAATACATCTATTAATGTGTTATTTTGTTTCCCTACAGAACTACAAGGATACAGTGAAAAGGTAAGGGGACTTTATTATGTCTCTCTCTTCTCTGGGGTTCTGTACCAGAACCCAGTGGACACTGCCAGATCCAGAGAGGGTTTCAGGAGCGCTGATAGATGTAGCAAAGCACCTGGGCAACCTGCAGTTCAGAGTGTGGGAGAAGATGCAGGAAATAGCTCAGGACAGTAAGTATTTAAGGGGTATAATAAGGTATTATATAGTGTAGACCATGACATCACTATGACTCTCCAATACAGAAAAAGAGACAGTGAATTATTTTTAAGATGGCACTCCAGTCTCCTTTCACCTCATTTATCACCTGATTTACTTAACAAAGGCTCATCTCAATATGTAGTGCAGGTATCCTCATGACATGGCACAAGTGGTGGAGATGGGGGGCTTTCCTATTTTGTCCTCTATTACTCCTCTATTGTTCAAGGGGGGAGGCCGATGAAATCACAGTGCACCCATCAGACCAACTCATTGAATGGACAACTCCTAGAAGTTTGCAGTTGTTCACAGACTTAAGGGTAAAAAAATTGTTTTATCAAAATAGTGTTTTTAGTCATTACTGTATTTATACATGAGATATTGTTTTTCAACAGGAAAAGTTTTTTTAAAAATAGCTGGAGTGCATCTTTAAAATACATAACATCAATTTTCATGGAACATCAAATCCGTTTTTTTTTTTTTTTTTTGTAATTTAGCAGACGCTCTTATCCAGAGCGACTTAGAGGAGCAATTAGGGTTAAGTGCCTTGCTCAAGGGCACATCAACAGATTTTTCACCTAGTTGGCTTGGGGATTAGAACCAGCGACCTTTCGGTTACTGGCACAACGCTCTTAACCACTAAGCTACCTGCCGCGGTTTCAGTGTATTTATCAAAAAGCAGATTGTACATTTACAGATGTGAAGTTTTACGAGGATTTCCCAATAAGTAATGTTCACATATAGAACACAAAACATATATAGCATCATATATCATATACAGTCATGTATTCCCCCTTCATTTGAATTAATCTAGTGTACTTGTGTTCTCTCTGTTCAGCTCCAGTGACTGTTCATCTCCAGCTTTAACTCAGGAACACACAGCTGGGACATTGATGTTGGGGAGAATACATTCTGGGACCTGGGTGTGATCACAGAGATTGTCCAGAGGAAGGGAGAAAGTGGTTTATGGGATGGATCCTGGGATGTGTGGTTTTGTGATGGGTATTATAAAACACATGTTCCAAATAAGCAATCCACTTTACTCACAGAGAGACGGAACCCCCAGAGGATCAGAGTGCAGCTAGATTGGGAAGGAGGAAAGCTGTCATTCTCTGACCCTGTCAATAACACACATCTACACACATTCACACACACTTTCACTGAGATAGTCTTTCTATTATTCTGGAATCCCCATACTCTCCACCTCCCTCTGGGGGTGTTACCAGGTAAGGTGACTGTATCAGTGGATACTGTCTCTGTCTGAATCAGGGACTAACATGATGTAAATGAGTCAGCAACACTCACTGATGTCCTTCATTAAGATTGTTAGAAAGAGATGATAGAGTAGCAGTCCTTCTCCTGCTGTAACACCTGTCACACAATCATCATTTAATACTGTATTATAAGAATCCCTATCAATACTTTCTGTAACACTCTCACCTGTCTGATAATGATAGTCATTGTATTGCAGTAAATGAGATATGGATAAATTAAGATGTAGCATAGTGTTAGGAAGCAAGCCTGATGAACCAAACCACTAATCTTTCTGATGATACCAACAGACTTCACCACTTTGATGCAGACAAAGTGAATATGATCTTTCCAGGACAACTTTTCATCATCTACAACCCCTAGGAATCTAGTGGAATGACAAAGATAGTGATGACCGAGAATGGCGACATCTTACGAGTTCCAACCCAACTTTGCTATTTAGTGACTTTTATCATGTTCATCATCATTTTTTTTATACAGAAAGTTCATACTATTATCACATACAGTGCCTTGCAAAAGTATTTATCCCCCTTGGTGTTTTTCCTATTTTGTTGCATTACAACCTGTAATTTAAATAGTTTTATTTGGATTTCATGTAATGGACATAAACAAAATAGTCCAAATTGGTGAAGTGAAATGAAAAACATAACTTGTTTAAAGAAATTCTAAAAAATAAATAACTGAAAAGTGGTGCGTGCATATGTATTCACCCCCTTTGCTATGAAGCCCCTAAATAAGATCTGGTGCAACCAATTACCTTCAGAAGTCACATAATTAGTTAAATAAAGTCCACCTGTGTGCAATCTAAGTGTCACATGATCTGTCACATGATCTCAGTATATATACACCTGTTCTGAAAGGCCCCAGAGTTTGCAACACCACTAAGCAAGGGGCACCACCAAGTAAGCAGCACCATGAAGACCAAGGAGCTCTCCAAACAGTTCAGGGACAAAGTTGTGGAGAAGTACAGATCAGGGTTGGGTTATAAAAAAATATCAGAAACTTTGAACATCCCACGGAGCACCATTAAATCCCAATAAAAAAATTTTGAAAGAATATGGCACCACAACAAACCTGCCAAGACAGGGCCGCCCACCAAAACTCACGGACCAGGCAAGGAGGGCATTAATCAGAGAGGCAACAAAGAGACCAAAGATAACCCTGAAGGAGCTGCAAAGCTCCACAGCAGAGATTGGAGTATCTGTCCATAGGACCACTTTAAGCCATACACTCCACAGAGCTGGGCTTTACGGAAGAGTGGCCATAAAAAACTATTGCTTAAAGAAAAAAATAAGCAAACACGTTTGGTGTTCGCCAAAAGGCATGTGGGAGACTCCCCAAACATATGGATGAAGGTACTCTGGTCAGATGAGACTAAAATTGAGCTTTTTGGCCATCAAGGAAAATGTCTGGCGCAAACCCAACACCTCTCATCACCCCGAGAACACCATCCGTGGCGGCAGCATCATGCTGTGGGGATGTTTTTCATCAGCAGGGACTGGGAAACTGGTCAGAATTGAAGGAATGATGGATGGCACTAATTACAGGGAAATTCTTGAGGGAAACCTGTTTCAGTCTTCCAGAGATTTCAGACTGGGACGGAGGTTCACCTTCCAGCCGGACAATGACCCTAAGCATGCTGCTAAAGCAACACTCGGGTGGTTTAAGGGGAAATATTTAAATGTCTTGGAATGGCCTAGTCAAAGCCCAGACCTCAATCCAATTGAGAATCTGTGGTATGACTTAAAGATTGCTGTACACCATCCAACTTGAAGGAGCTGGAGCAGTTTTGCCTTGAAGAATGGGCAAAATTCCCAGTGGCTAGATGTGCCAAGCTTATAGAGACATACCCCAAGAGACTTGCAGCTGTAATTGCTGCAAAAGGTGGCTTATGGATAGTTATGGATGCTCAAATTGTCTGTTTTTATGTCTTATTTCTTGTTTGTTTCACAATAAAAAATATTTTGCATCTTCAATGTGGTAGGCATGTTGTGTAAATAAAATGATACAAACCCTCCAAAAATCCATTTTAATTCCAGGTTGTAAGGCAACAAAATAGGAAAAATGCCAAGGGGGGTGAATACTTTCGCAAGCCACTGTATGACCGCCAAGCACTTCTGGACATCAGATCGACAGTTACTAACCTTGATTTCGCCTTCAAATAAGACTTCAACTCTGACTAAGCTGTTCCACTGTTCATACCAGACCCTATTCCTTTGATCCATGGGCTACCAAAACACTGCAGGCGTAGACGCAGGAGACGAGGTGGAGTCCTGGTGAAATTGAAGTGAAGAGAAAACCGAATGGTGCTCCCCTCCATTCTATTGGCAAATGTCCAGTCACTCGAGAATAAGATGGATGAGCTTTGTGCGAGCGTCTCCTATTAGAGAGACTTGAAAAGCTGCAATATTATGACTTACTGAAATGTGGCTAGATGATGAAGCTATGCACGTAGTACTCAGTGGTTTCTCCATGCAGTGGCAGGATCGGACAGTGGCTTCGGGGAAGTCGAAAGGAGGAGGAATGTGTTTTTCATGAATAACAACTGGTGTGCTGCTTCAAGTGTGAAGTAAAATCTCTAGTTTTTGCTCACCTGATATAGAATACCTCATGGTAAGCTGCAGACCCTTTTATCTACTAAGAGAGTTCTAATCGTAATTATCACGGCTGTCTACATCCCTCCACAAGCCAACACCACTTTGGCACTCAATGAACTGTATGGGGTCATAAACAAACAAGAAACCACTCACCCAGAGGCAGGGGAGACTTTAACGTGGGGAGACTTAAAACCGTCCTACCTCACTTCAACCAACACGTCTCCTCTGCCACTAGGGGCTCTAAAACTCTAGACTACTTTTATTCTACCCAGAGAAACGCATACAAGGACCTCCCTCATCCTCCCTTCGGCAAAACTGACCATGAATCCATTACCCTGCTTCCTGTTTACAAACAAAAGCTCAAACAGGAAGTACCAACGATCCACTCAACACAAAGTAGTCAGATGAAGCAGGCGCGAGGCTACAAGACTGTTTTGCGAGTACAGACTGGGATATGTTCTGGGATTCATCCGATAGCATTGAGGAGTTTACCAGAACAGTCACAGGCTTAATCAATAAGTGCTGAGACAAAGTCGTCCCCACAGTGACTATAAGAACGTATCCAAACCAAAAACCATTGATTACAGGCAATATCCTCGCTGGGCTAAAGGCTATAGCTACAGTTTACAAGAAACGAGACACGGACATGGACACATACAAGAAAGCCCGCTACGACCTCCAACGAGACATCAAACATGTAAAAGGACAATATAGGAGGAAGGTACAATCCTACTACACCGATGCGCGTTGAATGTGGCAGGGCTTGCAGACAATAACAGATTACAAAGGGAAATCCAGCCGTGAGTTACCCAGCTATGCAGAACTCCCAAACAAGTTAAATGGCTTTTCTGCTCGCTTCGAAGAATATAACACTGTACCTTGCGTGAAAGCCCCTGTTTTTGCAGAAGGAAAACGTTTAAACAGGTTAATAATCACAAGGCCGCTGGGCCAGATGGAATTCCAGGGGGCGTTCTCAAACCATGTGCAGTGCAGCTGGCAAGTGTCTTCACAGACATTTTATTCTGTCCTTGTCCCAATCTGTAATCCCAACATGTTTCAAACTGACCACCATTGTCGCTGTTCCCAAGAGCTCCAATGTTACCTGCCTAAATGACTATCGCCCTGTAGCATTCTCATCTGTAATTATCAACACCATCACCCCAGACATCCTAAACCCACTCAAATTCACATACCGCCCCAACAGATCCACAGATGACGCAATCTTGATTGCACTTCACACTGCCCTCTCCCACCTGGACAAGTGGGGAAATAACTATGTGAGAATGCTGTTCAAAGAGTACAGATCAGCATTCAACACCAGAGTCCCCTCCAAGCTCATCACCAAGCTAGGGACCCTGAGACTGAACCCCTCCCTCTGCAACTGGATGCTGGACTTCCTGACTGGCCGGCCCCAGGTGGTGATGGTAGGCAACAACACCTCCGCCACGCTGACCCTCAACATGGAGGCCCCTCAGGGGTGTGTGCGTAGTCCCTTCCTGTGCTCCCTGTTCACCCACGACTGCATGGCCATGTACGACAACAACACCATCATCAAGTTTTCTGACAACATGGCGGTGGTAGGCCTGATCACGTACGGCAATGAGTCAGAGGTCAGAGACTTAGCAGTGTGGTGCCAGGACAACAACCTCTCCCTCAACGTCAGTAAGACCAAGGAGCTGATCGTTTACTATAGTAGAAAGAGGGGAGAGCACCCCCCCATCCACATCAACGGGGATGTTGTGGAGCGGGTCGAGAACTTCAAGTTCCTTGGCGTCCACATCACTAAGGACGTAACATGGTCCACACACATCCGCACAGTCGTGAAGAGCGCACGGCAGCACCTCTTCTCGCTCAAGAGGCTGAAAAAATGTGGCATGGGCCCTCGGATTCTCAAAAAGTTTTACAACTGCACCATCGAGAGCATCTTGACTGGCTGCATCACCACTTGGTATGGCAAATGCACCACCCTTGACTAGGTCTGTTGCGGTGACCGCATTACCGCCACACAGGCAGTCGTGTCATGACCGCAGTAAAAATTCTACGTGACCGTTGAGTCGCGGTAATCTCCTCTTATGCATTCTGGACATGTGTTGGTAGTATCCAACTCACTAACGACCATCAGGTCCTAATGGCCTGGTACTCAGTACTCTATTGTCCTTCTAACCACTCTGACATCAATGCAAAGGCAATCGAAAATCATATCAAACACTTATCATCAAAACAGTTTGTGCTTTTAAAACTCTCCTCACTGTGATTGATCAATTTGAAGAAAGAAGTTCAACAACAAGTTGAAACTGAGTGGAAAACCTTGTGGATGTTGTTTCAAAGCCTTACACAACAAAATGGACAGCGCTTT